CTATGCTTCTATATGCCACCATTACACATCACTAACTTTGTGTCTCCTCTCTCCCGTAGTGTGTCCTCTCTCTCTCCCTGTACCTTTCTGCAGGTTGCCCTGGCCCTGGAGCTCTATGTCTCTGATGAGCAGTCACCAGCCACATCGACCTGATCAGTGTTTGATTGTTTTGTCTTGTTGCTTTTCTTCTTTTCTCTCTCCTCTATCCACTCACCCCAACCGGTCGAGGCAGAAGGCCGCCCACCAAGAGCCGGGGTCTGTCGGAGGTTTTGTCCATTAAAGGGAGTTTTTCCTCCCCACTGTCACCAAGTGCTTGCTCAAGGGGGATTTGTTGGGTTTTCCCTATGTAATAATAGAGATAACAGTAAGGTCTAGACCTTACTTTGTAAAGTGTCCTGAGATGATTTTTGTTGTGATTTGGCACTATACAAATAAAATTGGATTGATTGATTGATTGATTGACTTTCATCCAGTGCTAGTGAATAAAATGTAAAGGACTACGCCTTTTTGTTTAACTCTCTAGAAATATCACTGTCAATCAGTTCCACATGGCGAGTCATTGTCCTGCATGATAAAGTGTTTTTTTTTTCAAACTTGCCTTTGCTCTCTGGACACAAGAGACCTGCTGTCTCTACCATGCATTCTTTCAAAAACTGGCCTTCGAAGAAAGGCTTGCTAGCCTTTGCTAATTTGAATGCCAGCATAAAACTTTCATTGGTACTTGACTCTTGAATCGCAGTTTGTCTGTGAATTTTTTTTGCTGAGTTTGTAAATTAGCCATCAACCTCTGAGCAGTAGCCACCCGTTCTTGCATTGACTGCTTGCTAGCCTAGTCAGCATGCTTTGTGGCAAAATGATGGCTGATATTGTATTCTTTCAAAACCGCAACAGTTTCTTGGCATATCAGACATACAGCTGTTGATTGGACTTCAGTAAAAAAAAAAAAAAATTTAGTTGTCAACTCCTTACTAAACACTCGTCACTCACTGTCCACTTTTCTTGTCTTTGGTCCGCTCATTTTTACAGAAGGGGTCAAAGGGCAAAGCAAAAAAGTGAAGTAGAGAAGTCAATGTGTCTAAAGTTCTCAGAGACAATGCTGTTAGGGCCTGGGGCACACTGCAAACATGGATTGGTTCAAAACAATAGCACAAAAGTGCTATTAAGTTTAAGTTAAGTTCAAATGTTTGGATTACTTACACTAGGTGAACCTTTGAGATATTTCATCAAATAAATGAATCTTGTATGTGGTTTCATTAACTACCAATCCTGACAATGTTGTTACCAAATAAAGACATTACCGGATGCACTGTTGTAATGTGGGTACATTAGTCATGTAGCAAGGGCAGACATTTCCTGTTTCTGCTTGCATTTTCATTATTGCAACATCTGTCAAAATGTGTTGAAATGAATTTTGAACAGCATATGATAGTAAGGATGCATGCAACTCAAAATCTCTAAGTGGTAGCTGCAAACGTGTCAACTGTGTTTGCAGTCTTGCCAGCGGCTCTTATAGAAATGCCATCAATCAATGTTAACTGCTTCTACTTGGTTTCTCCACATACAGTGGGTACGGAAAGTATTCAGACCCCCTTAAATTTTTCACTCTTTCTTATATTGCAGCCATATGCTAAAATCATTTAAGTTCATTTTTT